ATTTTTAAGAGGAATAAGAGACCTTTCGGAAAAGGTTTTATTTTCCGAAAGATCCCCGTCTAGACTGGCACTTTTTTCCGGCAAAGCCCCGAGCCGGGAAAAAGCGGCAGCCATGTTCATGCAAATGGAGGGGGGGGGGGGAATTTAAATCCCCCATGGCATTTGCAATTCTGACTTGTCTCATCTGCATCCCTTTTCCAGAAAAGGGGTCCAGTGTAGACCCAGCCTATATGTAGGATGGGGATAATATTTTCTAGGGAGAATGAGAAACTAATTAGTTTACCTTGTCATCCACTCTGAAGGTGTTCATTATAATTATTACTAAAGATGACGGTCTGTGTTTTTTATTTTTACTAACATTCTGACACCTACAACAATTCCTATATATTCTGTTTTACTTCCTGGTAAATTGCTTGTTATATTCCTAGAACAGGGATTGATTCTGCCAGTTGAATACAACATGTGAAGTGAGATTGGCTGGTACGTGGTAGGCATGTACTGTAAGCAGTGCATCCTCATTTGTGTCAGTCTTCGGTGTTTAATTTTGTTTTTTCTGGGTTTAAATTATATTCTGTTATGGAATACTAATGTAAGAGCAAAATAGCTCCATTAAAGACAGCGGCATTATTCCAGCTTTACAGCAGTTAAGACTTAGATCCACACCCAGCTGTTTACTTTAGGCAGCTGGATTAAAATGAAATCTAATAAGCATTTCCATGCTGGGCTGAATGAAGAAAGGGGTGTTCAGGGCTGTAGCTCAGGGCCCCAGTCTAAGTGTGTGTGGGGAGAGGGCACAAAAAGATTTTATTTTCCAGGCTACCAAAAGTTCAGATCTTTCTGTGAGGCCCCCTTAATCTGGAGCCCCGGGATACAGCCACGAAAGCTTCTGTGGTAGTGGAAACTCCATCCCCATGCAGCTCTTGCCTGCAGCCTCCACCCTCACAGCTCCCATTGGCCAGGAATTCCGGCCAATGGGAGTAGTGGAGTGGAGGGCAGTGCCTACAGATGAGCAGAGGGCAGCATGGCCTACTCTGAGGCACCTGCTCTCCCCTCCCCTCCCCCCAAGTGGAGTTGCTCCAGGTAAGCACTCCACACTCCAACTTCCTGTCCTAGCCCTAAGGCCCCTCCCAGACCCTGCACCCCACCCCCCTCCTGCACCTTTAAGGCCCTAACGCCTTCCTAAACCCCACACCCCAATTCCACTCCAGCACCATATCTCCCATTCAGACTCAACCTCCTGTCTTGAGCCCCCTCCCACACTGCAAGCCCCTTGCTCCCTGCCTGGAACCCACCTTATTCCCAGCCTCACCCGAGCATGCACCCCCAGTCAGAGACCTCACTCCCTCCCATACCCACATTCCTGCCTCAACCTGCAGCTCCTTCGTGCATTCTGAACCCCTCATTTTTGGCCCCATCCCAGAGCCTAGTGGTCCCACAAAATCTAATAGCCCTAGGCCTCCAGAATTGATCTGCCCCTGTTTAACTAGTACAGCCGGTCCCCGAGTTACGAACGCATCAACTTACAATTGTTCATATTCATGACCAACCTCCTATACAGCCGGAACCTGAGTTACAAACGAAATCCGCACTTATGAACAGCGCAGCCATACATAAGTGAATGTAATCCGACTTACGAACAGATCGAGTTGCGACCTAGTGTTTGGTACGTAACTCATTCGTAAGTCGGGGATCGGCTGTATATGGAATTCTCTGCCCTCCGTCTAGGTCTACAATGCCATTTTATTACACTGCAACTTTCTTGCTCTGAGGTGTGAAAACACATCCCACCCAAGCACAGCAAGTTACAGCATTATCAAGCACCTGTGTAAATGGGCTCCCAGCCCTGGGAATTACTCCCCTTGTTTAGGTGGTTTACATATTGCGCTGGTGTTTTTGACCAGGCTTTCACTTTGAAACACGGCAACCCTTTAATTTTCTAAGTGCAGACTTAGCCTTAGCACTAAGAATTGCCTACAAGTGTAGCAAGTGGTAAACAGTCTCAAGTATTTGTTGGCATTCTTTTGTCTAAGCCTTTTAGGGCATCAGACCCACTTTGTCACTGAAGTCAGCAGCAAAAGAGCCACCATCTTCAACGAGTATAGGATCAGGTTTACTATCCCCACATGTAGAATAGTAATAGAGATGTAGCCATGTTAGTCTGGTCTTGCTGAAACAAAAGACAGGACTAGGCAGCACTTTAAAGACTAACAAGATGGTTTATTAGGTGATGCGCTTTCGTGGGCCAGACCCACTTCCTCAGATCAAATGTGGAAGAAAATTGGCACAACCATATATACCAAAGGGATACAATAAAAAAAAGTCAACACATAAAATTGACAAATCAGATTTTAACAGAGGAGGGATGAGGGGGGGAGGTTAGTGTCTATGAGATAATGATATTAAGGGTGATAATTGGGGAAGCTATCTTTGTAATGGGTAAGGTAGTTAGCATCTTGGGTAAGATGTAGTTCAAAGTTAGTTAGCTTACCCAAGATGCTAACTACCTTACCCATTACAAAGATAGCTTCCCCAATTATCACCCCTAATATCATCTCAGACACTAGCCCCCTTTCCCCCTACCCCTCCTCTGTTTTAAAATCTGATTTGTCAATTTTATGTGACTTTTTTTTATTGTATCCCTTTGGTATATAGGGTCATGCCAATTTTCTTCCACAATTTGATCTGAGGAAGTGGGTCTGGCCCACAAAAGCTCATCACCTAATAAACCATCTTGTTAGTCTTTAAAGTGCTGCCTAGTCCTGTCTTTTGTACCCACATGGTACTTCATGTATTGAGGTGGAAACTTCTCTGGTTATAGTGAGAGACTGTCACACAGTGACAATGTCCTTTACAGCAGAATGGTCTCATACTGCTGTCTGAATTCCTAAATATTAATAGAACCACCATTCTCCTGGAGGTGATTTTTCATTTCCACCAGAGTTGATTATAGATTTCTGTTCATGCCTCTAGTCTTTCAAGAAGAGAAATTTGGCCCTTGCAGAGCCAAGAACACTTAAATAACTGCATCTTCACATTATATTTTTTTAAAAGCAGTGCTCTTCCCATAGGGTATGTCTACACTACCCCGCTTGTTCGAACTAGCGGGGTAATGTATGCATACCGAACTTGCTAATGAAGCCCGGGATTTGAATTTCCCGGGCTTCATTAGCATAAAGCCGGCGCCG